ATGTCATATTTCTCCACCTACTGTAGAGACACTGGAGATGGTCTCCAGACATGTCCAGGAATCCAAGGGGAAACTGTCCTGTATCACAGAGCAAGTACCTCTACAGTTTGTGTATGGACCACAGCAGAGTCGCTTGAAGTTCATTGAGGTATGAGTCTTTAGAATAATGCAGCTTTGGTGGTATGCATACTCTCTCTGTATTGGGATTTCAGCAAATTTTAAGGCATTAATAACAGAACAAAATATCAGTCTGCAGAAGAATGTTTTTTACTTCATATCTTGTTTAGAATTTATACTATAAATCTAATTATTAAAAACCTTTTCTTTTCTGATTCTGATATATTCTGATTTTTAGGAGTTTGAGAGAATGAACATCCCTGGTTACTACCTGCTAAAAGAGGGGGACTTCTACTACTTGGTCGTTGACAAAGCCACTCTATTTTTGGAGGTCCATGCCAATGCCATTAAGTCTGCGCTGGACAAGATTAGCAGAGACAATTCACCTACCAGAGGAGAAGAAAAAAAGATAAGTGATAATGTCTTCATGGCTCGTTCAGGCACCTCAGAACCTGACTTATCAAAGGAGGCTCAGTCATCAGATCTTGATGCTACCCTGGTACCAGGTGGTGTGGACAGTGCCACCACTTCATTGTCATCAAAGTTGAGAACAGACAACGGCCCAGTGACCTTCAATCCTGTCATCTCCTTGAAGGAACCAACCCCTGACAGGACTGCTTCTGCTGACCCCCCTCACTCAACCTCAGATAATACCAGTGGAAGCTCTGTACAGGTTCTGGATGACAAGAATGACTCTGCAAAAGATCTTTCTTCTAATCTGATGCAATCTGTGGTGGAGCAGAAGGATCAAGTGACAAGCCAAGCCCAAGAAGCAGTCACATCAGGTAGCAGTTTTAGTGACACTGTCACAGCAGCAGTAGAAAGTGCCTTCAGACCTCGCAGTCAGTCAAGTAAAGATGATGTCAGACGAAAACCACAAAAAGAGTCCCTGAGTATGACTGAGAGCTGCGGTAAAGATAATACAGCATTGAGAATCAAAAAGTCTGCTAGCTCTCCTAGCATGCATGATGGCAGTGAGGATATTCTGATGAAAGAGGTGGATTTGTCATCTCAAGATGTGAGAAAGCAAGGCCGACCCAGGTCCAGTCTTCCTCAAACCCCAGTTAATGGTACTAGCATGAATAGGTCTAGAAACTCTTCTGGTACTCCCAAAAGTATTATTTCAGGCATTGGGACACCTAATCGCTCACGCCATTCCTCTGGGACTTCAAGATCAAGGCATTCTTCTGGTAAAATATCCCGGAAAATGTCTGGTATATTTGATAGCAGCAGTCATGGGAGCTGCACAGAAGAAGGTATGTCCAGATTATTCAGTCTGTTTGATAGCAAGATAAACTTTTGATTCAAGTTTTTTATCAACACTGATAATTGCAACCAAAGTGTATTATGTATGCCTTTTAAAAATTGAGTGAATGCAACAAAAAGTATAGTTTGAATAAATAAAACCAATAATAGATTATGAATTATGCTTGTTTATATTATGTTGCTATTTTATATAGGCTACGATGGAGACACAAGCAGCAGTGAAAGTGCATTTCACGTACTTTTTGGTATAATAAGATTGACATTTTAATTTATTTTCTCTGTGTGCTATATAAGCCTTTCTTTCTTTTTTTTTCTGTTTTATGCTGTTAATGATAATTAGGAAAGTCTTTCTTGATGCATGTACTCACATTTTGAAATTAGTACTTCAATTTTCAGTAACTTTTACCAGTAGATTGAGTGAAAGAATGTTCAGAGAAACATGTTCTGTTGTTGTGCATTGGCATTTATTTAACTTCAAGTTATAAGACAATTTTAAGAATTGGTTATATAACATAGGAGCCATTTAATTATTTGGTTTTGCTTTGTCTATCTTCATTTAAAATTATCTTTTTATCTCCCCTTTTCCTATTACTGTTGTCTTTTATTGAAGTTGAATATCATTGATAATCAGTGACTGGAAAATATAAGTTATAGTGATATAGACCACCTTATAACTCAAAGAAAGAAAAATGTTTTGTTTTCCCCTTTCATGTTGTAAATGGTGCACTGATTTGAACTATTGGAGCCTAATTAAGATGGCCTTTGCCTCCCATGCTAGTGCTTAACACTAACATTTGTGAATGTTTTAGGCTATGAAGGTGACTCCAGTGATTCAGATGCTGAGGGGGGTATGTTGTCAATGCATGACACTGGTCCACAGCAGCCTAGACTGCCAGACTTCTGGCTACTCATGAAGGTCAACAGGGACAAAGTGGATATCTTCTTCCACACCAGGTAATATAACATAACTTCCACACCAGGAGATATAACATGGCATCTACTTCCACACTGGGCAATATAACATGACATCTACTTCCACACTGGGCAATATAACATGACATCTACTTCCACACCAGGCAATATAACATGACATCTACTTCCACAACAGGTAATATAACATGACATCTACTTCTACACCTGGCAATATAACATGACATCTTCTTCCACACCAGGCAATATAACATGACATCTTCTTCCACACCAGGTAATATAACATGACATCTTCTTCCACACCAGGCAATATAACATGACATCTACTTCCACACTGGGAAATATAACATGATAGCTTCCACACCTGGTAATATAAGGTCTACTTCCACACTAGGAAATATAACATGACATCTTCTTCACTTTGTAATATAATGTGACATCACATGGCATGTACTCCTTTATAAGGTTATATTACATGGCAACTTTCACACCTACTAAGACGTCTTAATGTATTTGTCTGTTTGAAATGAAATAGTAGTGCTAATGATTAAACTATAAGGAAAAATATTCGATACCAGCTATTAAAAGTTGCTTACAACTATCAATGTCTCTTTCAGCTACACAGGTGAGGAAGAAACAGAAGACTTGGTGCGTATGAAGATATTATACAATAATGTCATCAGTAACATCAGAGAGACAGGAAGGATTGTCAATCAGGTGGGTTGCAAGCTTTTTTTTCTGTAAATACTTGCTGTGCATTAATAATGATTCCATTGTGATAATTGAATATATTTTTGTAGCGACTTCTGCTGCAAGACCTCCATGACACCCGGATGTGCAATAGTCTGCTGGTGCCAGAGGCAGATGAGGATATCTCCTGGAAGAGGGATCTGGAAGCCATGCATGCCTCTAGAAGGAGTGATGGTAAAGCTTCTCTTCATTGATTAGAAAGGGAGCTAGAAAATTATGAATATTTTTAAAGAAGTTATTTGAAGAATGCATACTGGTTTTGCAAGTAATTGGTTTTTGAAATTATAATTTTTATACCTGTATTTCAGTGTGCACCAAAGTGGCAAAGTTGAATGTAGAAATTGGGTAATTTAGTTATTATTTAACTCCTTTGTTACTCGACTTAAGAATCAGATGAAGAAGAAGATCTTGGCCCTAAGGAAGGTTATCTAGCTGCTGCTCTTGACTTCGAGCCAGGGCACTTTGCCTGTGACTGTGTGTGGAAACATCAGTTTACACTGCACCCAAGGCTAAAAACAGGACTGGGGAGAACTGGGCTGTCTAGAGGTAAAAGCAGGGGTGACATTTGGGAACAAAAAGTCATCGTAATAATGTACAATTACTGTCTGGTATAAATTTTGAAAAATGCTTTATTACATATACAAATGTTACACAAGTACTCTTAATAAGTCATTTTGATGAAAACAATAATGAAATGTTGGTTTTGCAATTGTTTTTGTATAAAGATATCCAGAACATATATATATATAATCATGAATATCATTTAGAAACAAAGAAATTTGCAGTCATAACAGTTGTGATATGTTTTAGGTATCCAAGCCCTGAGATCAGTGCTGAATGCTTTCTCTGTGAACAACAGGAAAAACATGTTTGTGCTCAGAGAAAATAATGGAAATGTGTTTTACTTGAGGTAGGAAAACTGCACCTGTTAAATATTAAGAATATTAAATTTTTTTGTAATTTTTAGTATGAATGTTTTAGGCAGAATAAATTCTTTAAATATAGGGTTGTTTTTTTTCTGATACCTATGCCATGGTGGGTTTGGGATTCTTCCAATACATAAATTTATATATATTATATCTCCTTTGGTAATTCCAGGGTTAGTGACTGTATCCCTGTAACACAGTCTGTGCAATTAGGGGATGCAGGGGGGCCTGAAGACCAGGTAGATGGATCAAAACTGTCAGAAGGTAAGGGGCATAAAAGATAATACAGGAAACATTGTCTTCAATAGTGATTCCAACTTTTTTAAGAATAGAATTTAAGGCATTCCTTATTCAAAACTAAAATATTTTCATAGATGATATATGTTCCCAGAATCCAATCAAATTATTTTGTATTTTAGCTGCCATGACTAGAGATGATTCTTCAGCTTCAGGGTTTCCATTTAGCAAGGTACTGTATGTAAAAGTGTTCTTTAAGTGTAGCCACAGCAGTACTGTATAAATTGTTTCTTGCCTGTGAAATGTGTTGCCTTTGATTATTAAGCATGAAGCGCGTAACATGTATATGTAAGTATAAATGTTGACTGCTCTCTGTAGGATTTAAGGATGCGGAGGTTATCCTCCACAGACAGAGATCCAGAGATGCTGTCCCTGTCCTCATCAACCAGCAGCAGGATCTTCTCCAGGAAGAACGAGGAATGCATCGAATTATCTGTCCATGGCATAACAGACGCAGGTGAGTAGATATTACTTTGTAAGAGAAAAGTGTATTGGTCTTTGAACCTTAATGGCAACAAAAATCCTATAAATATGTTCAGTGAAGGATTTCACAAAAAAAAATGGAAAGCAAGTCACCGAGTTAATGTTCAGCAGATGTTAACAATAGGCCAAGGAGGTGAGATATGTCAGTTCAATTCAATAAAGCACATCAGCTACAGGGCAAAGCAGAGTTAAGCATTAAGGTCGTGCAATGCAATGAATAGATTAAAAGCATCTAAAATGGTATGAACACAAAATTAAAAAATTTCATACGTAAGATATACATAGAAACCATTGATAAACATTAAGTGGTAATAATAAGGGACATCGGGCAAATTTGTGGTAGGAAATGGACAAGTGGTTGGGGAGGATGGATAAATCTGACTAGAAATTGTTAGAAGAAAATCAATGTTATATTTGTGTTATGAGAAAATCAGTTATGTTTGACTGATGCTAGTTCAGATGGCTGTAGCTGCCTCAATATTGGTATTATATTTACTAAAACATGAAATATGATACTTGAAAGTACCACTTCATGTAAATATTTTATAGATAAATGGCTTTATTTAATAGATGATGCTGTTATAAAAGCTGCTTGCAATCAAAATTTAGTTGCACTTTTGTTGTCTTGTCCCAGGCCCTGAAATCAAAGAAGATCTGATAGATGTATTGAAGAGGAAGATGGATGATGCTGTGTTGGATGTGATATCTGTGATGTTGGCAAGAAATGCCATGTGTAAGCTGACTGTAGATGATGTTCAGGTGAGAGGGAAGAAGGGATAATGATGCTTTCATAGCTTGATAATTTGAATGAGTACAATATTTGAATCTGCAGAATTTTCCTTCCTTCCTTGGTAGCATCTTTTTTTTTTTTTTTTTTTTTT